AGCCTCAATAAACAGTCACACTGGATGCTTTAGCTGGACTGACTTGCTTATGTAGTGGGTTTTTATATGGACCTGGTTAATAGGATGACCTTAGATTTATGATCAAGTACTTGTTCCAGGTATTTTTAGTTTTGGGGGATTTTGTTTTTAATAAGTATACCTATAATGAGAGTCAATACAGTAAACTTAATGCAAGAGTGAACATCAGATTCTTCTTGCTGCTGTAGAAGCAGATATAAATTCATAATTAGATAGAATACTCACATGTTTAAAGACTGACCTAGGAATGTGCAAGGGATTGTCTTCATTAGCAGCTGAATAGTCTGGGTCAGGTTCTGCACACATTTCCCTGTGTCAGTGAGGTTCTTTGCATCCCAGGGATTTCTATCATCACTCATCCTTCAGGTTTTCACCAGGGTAAGCAGGTTTAATTATCATCATGGATTCCATAAGAGTTGTGCATGGGAGCTGCTTTGGGGGGAAGCACTTAACCAGTGTGCTCCTCAATGGCCATGGCCAAACCTCCCACTTTGAGAACAATAATTCCCCATCAGCTGCCCAGTTGTAGTGAGGTTGCAGTGACTTCGTGTCAACTTTTCACCACTTGGACCCTCTGCCAAAGTTTACACTTGCATAAGCCACCATCAACTCCTTGTGAATGTTGCCCACTGTGCATATTGCCAGGTATTCTCCTTTTGAATGTAAATGGATAACATAGATGGATAATATAGGTTCCAATTTCTCTCGCCTCTTTGGTGGATGACTTTTCTAGCATGGAGGTGAAGTAAAAGAAAACAGACCATAGTTTAGAAATATATTCCAGGAGCAATATGGATGGTGAGCAGTGAACAGAGAGCAGTTAATATTTCTATATGTTTAGGGGTAAACTCTGGAAGTGTTCCCTGGGGTTTTACCTCTGTGACTCCCATTGACCTTAATGAGAGTTGCTGGTCATCACCAAGCATATGCAAGGGACCCATGTTGACTTGTAAATACAGGCTCTTCTGTGCCCCACAGGGGCTGAGAATAATTCAGAGACAGTGTCATTTAGTCCTGATGGGCAGGCATCACCCCATCTTGTTCTGCAAGTGACTCTTCTGGCCAATTGAGGAAGAGAGAATGATGGATGTTAGAAGGAATCAGGTTAAATTCTCCTCAGCTGGAAGAAGGGTGGCTGAGTCATGGGACTTGTGAAGTTAAAAAAATGGGGAAGCTCCTCGGGGCTTCATTATGGAAGTGAAGAACCATTGTGGGATTAAAATATAAAAATGAGAACTGTCATCTATTTTTGGAAATATTTTGCTTGCAGGGACTATCTTCAAGGCTATTAATCAGTGTAACAAGAGGGGGAAGAGACTCTCAAAGATCAATTGCTCCTTACAAGAGAAGTAGTTCAAAATAACTGTATATGTGTTGGGGCTCTTTTTGGCATAATTGAACAGTACCAAAAGAGTCAAGTATATTTAAGGGATAATCTCTCCAGCTCTGTGGTATACAAAGCAATAAATGCCTGTTGAGATTGATTAATCACTGAGACAGCGCCAAAGAGTTTAATCCACCCTTTAGTACAAGTATCCTGCAAAGCAGCAAGGATTATTGCTGTTATTCAACAAACCATACAACAAGGAATGAAAAACCCAATCTCTTTTCTCCATAGCAAAATCTGAAAATACTGAGCTTCTATCCATAGGCGCCGACTTCTACGGGCGCTGGTGGGTACTTGACCCCCCTCTCTCCCCTACTCCACCCCTTCCGCAGCCCCTCCTGCCCCCCTTCCAACCCCTTCCCCAAAGTCCCCACCCAAACTCCATCCCTTCCCACCCCCATTCCAACTTCTTCCCCAAATCCCTGCCCCGACCGCGCCTCTTCCCTGCCTCCTCCCCTGAGTGCGCCATGTTCCCGCTCCTCCTCCCTCCCTTGCGGAGCTCGCTACAGCTGTTTGGCAGTGGCAAGCTTTGGGAGGCAGGCAGAAGAGCGGGGACGCGGCGGGCTCAGGGGAGGAGTCGGAGGCGGAAGAGGAGGTAAGGTTGGGCAGGGCGGGGAGCTTGGCTGCCGGTGGGTGCAGAGCACCCACTAACTTTTCCCCGAGGGTGCTCCAGCCACGGCGTCAGCGCCTATGCTTCTACCTCCATCTCAAACCTACCCATAACACACAACATCTCGGCAGACAGACAAGGAGGGAGCAATTAAGTCCTTTGGCCCGATTTGCCACCACGTTGCTCCTGGTATGGTTATTTACACCTTTGCAAAGGGAATGTAGAATGGTACCAAACAGAATGGAAACATTTTTCAGGACTTTGCACTCGCAGATGTAAATGACTGCACAAGGTGCAAGGCACTGGGAAATCGGGTACAAAGACTACAGACATCTGTCCCAGTCTGCACTGGGCTCAATAATAATAACCCTATGGATAGTCTCCACTTTGCTTGTTCCAAGTTCTCATCAGGAAACTGGATGGGATCTCCCCAGAATATTACGTGCACCCTACAGAACGTACTGTATTGGTCATCATGATTGTTTTAATGAAGTATGTGTCTAACAATGTACTGGTAAAACTGATTAGTGATAGGAATCATTAATGCACTGTATTTCCCACAATATGTTCTCTTTCCTGCCTTATTCCTCTCTGTAGTGCAGGAGGTAGATAGTAGAGCATTGACGGAAAAAGAAGGCATGGAAAAAGATCATTTATACTGGGCAATAGAACAGTATTCTTTTGAAAAAGCTTCAACAGGAAAGCCACATTCATTTCCTGTCAACCTGTACAAAACAACATCTGCCCCTTTCCCTCCGCACTAAACAAACAGTCTCCCTTGAGACCTATAGAGAAGGTCTTTCTAACATGCCACAAACACTGAACATGTGTGAATGAGCCTCCATCATTAAGTGAGAAAATGCAGGGGGAGCAACAAAGTTGAATTAAGAGAGAGACGCTAATAGAAGGAAACACACTGAGAATGAAATCAGATGTAGTGAAACCCCCTTTAATGGAGCTAAGCCACAGAGTTTGGCTAGAGATCCAAGCTTTTCACAAATTTCAGAGTTCTGATTAAGAGTTTGGTTTGGCCTGTTGGTGTCCAGATACCATGATGATGGGCACATTAGAGATACTCAGCTAGATGAACAGATTAGATATGAAACACTCAGGAGGTTCGGATTGGATCTGGATCATGTCTGTTTGGATGCTGGGACTTATCTCACTTAAAATGAGATGGGATGAAAGTTCAAAATTGTTTAAATGTGCAATTTTCAAGGCAGTTTAGTGTGAGGTTAATCATTTGGGGGGGGGACTTGCACAATAAGTATCAATCATTATTAACTTTACTTGTGAAACCTCACCTTCTGTACACAAAAACACAACACCACAATGCTCAGGGAAGGGAACAGCACACTGTACAATCAAATGAAAACAACATTACAATAAAACTTTACAAAACTCCCAAAAAGGTGTGGGAATGAAGAAAGAGACCGAGTTGGGAGAAGAGACTGAAAAGTTCTAAATAGGAGAATCAACACAGGTCATATGGGCAGCATCTCTGGGGAAGGTGTTGTGTAAAAGTGGGCGGATGAAGGTCAATTGGGAGCTTTCCACATCCTAATGCCAACCAAACCAATAGCACATTTCTTTGTCAACCTCTAACCCAGTGGTGACATAAGTGGTGTCAGAAGACACATATCTATTAGGATGGGGTTCAAGGAGGTAGTTTTCTTTCCAGTTTGACTGGAGATCTGCCCCCACAATTGCAATGCTGGGCAATGGCCCTAAATTTAATAAGTTTCTGTAATATACTAGGGTAATAGGCATAGACACTCATGCACACACATTCACACTCACAACATTGATAGAGTAAGTGGAAAGCTGATCAGGCTAGTGTCCTGTATGCAGAACTCCCACTGAAGTGCTGCACATTCATTTCTGCACATGAGACCTGGTCGAATGCTCACTGAAGTCAGTGGAAAGACCACCCCCTTGACATCAGGGGATACTGGAGGGGGTTTAGGGACAGTTTTCAAGATTGAGACCAAAATCAGCCAAAAACATGGATGACTGACTGGCCTAATATAAAAAATATGTTCTTTATTTCTTTTTACAACTCAACTCTCAAAAAACTACAAAACAATCTAATGAAAGCTGTTAAATGATTAAATATATATATATATATTACTTATAACTAGGGCTGTTGATTAATATCAGTTAACTCACGCGATTAACTCAAAAAAATTAATCACAATTAATCGCAGTTTTAAACAATAGAGTACCAATTGAAATTTATTAAATATTTTTGTATGTTTTTCTACATTTTCCAATATATTGATTTCAATTACAACATAGAATACAAAGTGTACTCTGCTCACTTTATATTATTATTTTTATTACAAATATTTGCACTGTAAAAATGATATACAAAAGAAACAGTATTTTTCAATTCACATCATACAAGTACTGTAGTGCAATCTCTTTAACGTGAAAGTGCAACTTACAATGTAGATTTTTTTGTTGCACAACTGTACTCAAAAACAAAACAATGTAAAACTTTAGAGCCTACAAGTCTACTCAATCCTACTTCTCATTCAGCCAATCGCTAAGATAAAAAAATGTGTTTACATTTACTGGAGATAATGCTGCCCACTTCTTATTTACAATGTCACCAGAAAGTGAGAACAGGCGTTCGCATGGGACTTTTGTAGCTGGCATTGCAAGATATTTACATGCCAGATATGCATTTGTATGCCCCTTCATGCTTCGGCCACCATTCCAGAGGACATACTTCCATTTTGATGAGGCTCATTAAAAAAAAATGCATTAATTAAATTTGTGACTGAACTCTTTGGGGGAGAATAGTATGTCTCCGCTTCTATTTTACCTGCATTCTGCCATATATTTTATGTTATAGTAGTCTCAGATGATGACTCAGCACATGTTGTTCATTTTAAGAACACTTTCGCTGCAGATCTGACAAAACGCAAAGAGGGGACAAATGTGAGATTTCTAAAGATAGCTACAGCACTTGACCCAAAGGTTTAAGAATTTGAAGTGCCTTCCAAAATCTGAGAGGGATGAGGTGTGGAGCATGCTTTCAAAAGTCTTAAAAGAGCAACACTCTGATGCAGAAACTACAGAACCCGAACCACCAAAAAAGAAAATCAACCTTCTGCTGGGAGCATCTGATTCAGATGATGAAAATGAACATCCATTGGTCTGCACTGCTTTGGATTGTTACCGAGCAGAACCCGTCATCAGCATGGACGTGTAAGTTTGAGTGAAAATTAACCAATCTTATGCCACTTTGAAGGTAAGCTTGCCTCATTATATTCCATCAATATGATTGAACAGTGTCTTGAATTAATATATTTTCCCCATTAATAAGGGATAATGATATATTAAGCATGAACCAACAGTGTGGTTATAGGAATATTATATTTACAACTTAAAAACAGAAGTATACTCCGAAGAGACTTGCAGTAAGTACATGTATTCACTGACATAATACAAAGTAAATTAAAATAGACTAATTAGATTGAAAGCTACCTCGGGGCTCAATCCTGTGCCATTAAAGTCTTTGTGGAGTTTGCTGCATTGACTTTAAAGGGAGCAGGATCAGACGCTAAGTGGATATCACTATATCTAACTTCTGATATCACTATATTTCAGCGTCTTACTTTACAGTGATGTTTGGTTGCTCATGTATATACTTTTCTTTCATAACATGAGGAAGGATAGTCTTCTGATTAAGGTGTGGACTACATTCATAGACTTTAAGGTCAGAAAGGTACCATCACAATCATCTAGTCTGACCTCCCGTACATTGCAGGCCACAGAACCTCACCCACCCACTCCTGTAATAGACCCATAACCTGTGACCGAGTTACTGAAGTCATCAAATAATCGTTTAAAGACTTCAAGTTACAGAGAATCCACCATTTACACTAGTTTAAACCTGCAAGTGACCCAGGCTCCATGCTGCAGAGGAAGGTGAAAAAACCCCAGGGGTTTCTGTCAACTTGACCCAGGTGAAAATTCCTTCTTGACTCCAAATATGGTGATCAGTTAGCTCCTCAACATGTGTGCAAGACCTATCAGCCGGACACCTGGGAAAGAATTCACTGTAACTTGGAGCCCTCCCCATCTAGTGTCCCATCACCGGCTGTTAGAGATATTTCCTGCTAGCAGTCACAGATCAGCTACATGCTATTGTAGGCAGTCTCATCATACCATCCTCTCCATAAACTTATCTAGTTCTGTCTTAAAGCCAGTTAGGTTTTTTGCCCCCCACTGACCACCTTGGAAAGCTGTTCCAGATGGTTAGAAACCTCCTCCGATGGTTAGAAACCTTTGCCTAATTTCAAGCCTAAACTTGTTGATGGCCAGTTTATATCAATTTGTTCTTGTGTCCACATTGGTGCTTAACTTCTCTCCCTCCCTGGTATTTTTCCCTGTGATATATTAATAGAGACCAATCATATCTCCCCTCAGCCTCCTTTTGGTTAGGCTAAACAAGCCAAGCTCTTTGAGTCTCCTCTCATAAGGCACATTTTCCATTCCTTGCATCATCCTAGTAGCCCTTCTCTGCACCTGTTCCAGTTTGAATTAATCTTTCTTAAACATGCAAGACCAGAGTTGGACACAGTATTCCAGATGAGGTCTCATGAGTGCCTTGTATAGTGGTCCTAATACTTCCCTGTGTCAACTGGAAATACATCGCCTGATGGATCCTAGGATTGCATTAGCCTTTTCCATGGCATCTCACATTGGCAGCTCAACCATAAACCCAGGTCTTTCTCCTCCTCTGTCACTTAGAGCTGATACATCCCAAGCGAATAGCAAAAATTCTTGTTGTTAGTCCCTAAATGCAGGATCTTGCACTTTGCACTATTAAATTTCATCCCATTTCTATTACTCCAGTTTACAAGGTCTTTCACATCTTCTTGTATGATTAAGGTTAAGATTTTGTCTCGGTTTAGTAAAAGTCACAGACAGGTTGCAGGCAATAAATAAAAATTCACAGGAGCCCATGACCTGTCTGTGACCTTTACTAAAAATAACTTGGGGGGGGAGGGCTGAGTGGGGAGGGAGGGGGAATAACAGCTGAAGCCCAATGGGAGGGGGGGACTGACAGTCCAAGCCCCCCCTGCCACAGGGGAGGGAGGAGAGCACAGCCCCGGCTCCAGCCCCAACCAAAGCCACGGGGTGGGTGGCACACAGCCCTGGCTCCGGCCAAAGCCATGGGGGAGTGTGAGGGGGAACACAGCCCCGGCTCCATCCACCAACATATTTGGTGAAGAAATCTATCAGATATCACATACAGGAAAATCTGGACCCTACTGTTATTAGTACCATTTGCCTGCCAATCTATAACTGGGAATTGAAAAAAGAAAAGGAGTACTTGTGGCACCTTAGAGACTAACCAATTTATCTGAGCATGAGCTTTCGTGAGCTACAGCTCACTTCATCGGATAAATTGGTTAGTCTCTAAGGTGCCACAAGTACTCCTTTTCTTTTTGCGAATACAGACTAACACGGCTGTTACTCTGAAACCTGGGAATTGAAAGTCTCCCACAATCACACAATGTCCAGTAGTATTTATTTTGTTAAAAAACATTAAAGATCCTGGTGGTCTGTAGCACTCCCCCTGCACTATGTCAGGGGAACCTCTAGTAGCTTTCCCCCCAAAAGTGATTTTGCCCCAAACACACTCACTCTTATCCATTCCATCACTTCTAATTTCTTTACAGTCTACCTCATCATTAATATACAACACTGCTTTACCACATTTGCCTTCATTTCTGTCTTTTCTGAACAGCACATTTCCTTCAATACCTGTACTCCAGTCATGACTACTATTCCACCATGTTTCTGTTATCCCTGTAATATCTGGTTTCAGTTCTTGCACCAGTAGTTCTAGTTTCTCCATTTAGTTACCCAGACTCCTTACATTGGTATACAAACATCTTAATGGTTGCTTCTTGGCTTTGCCCACATTCCTTGCCTGATTGGGTACAGTCATTCTACTGTCAATATTGCCTATATGACTGGTATCAGCACTATTCTTCCTCTTGATGTCCATTCTCCTATCCACTGCTGTTCCTTTCTCCGTTGCTGTATCCTTTCTTACTTGATTTTCTTCCCTCTCAATGTCAAAATCAGGTATGGAGATTACATGAGATCTCCCAACCATTTCCCTGAGTTCCTAGTTTAAAGCTTTTTAAATTAGCTGTGCCAATCTCCATCCCAGAAATCTATTTCCCTCCCTACTCAGGTGTGTCCATCCCCTGAGAACTGTTCTCTGTCCATGAATGCCTCCCAGAGGCCAAACATCCCAGAGCCCTCTTCATAGCAACACTGCCTGGGCCATCTGTTGATCATTATAAACTTGTCTCATCTTCGTTCTCTTCCTCTAGGGACAGGCAGAACCCCACTACTCTGTTTGCTGGCGCTTGTGCCATGGCACCTGTGCTGCTGGCTGACTGGCTGCCCTTATAGGACTCCTAATCAGGGGAAACCCTGCCTCCTGATCAGGGAAGACCCACCCCCTAATCAGGGCTTTGCTTCTCTCACAGCACACTGCCCCCTACCAGCCTCTACAAACTGTACAGGGAAAGAAAAAACCACAAAACAGAAAAAATGAACAACAGCCCCCAAAAAACTCACTCACTGCCCCTGAGGACCTGGGGCTTGCCTCCTCCCTTCTTCTCCAACAGAATTCCCACTCAAACTCAGGTCTTTGCTGGCTCCTGTGCTGCTGTGCCTGTATCCCAAAGCCCTGCAACTAGACTCAAGAGATCTAGGTTCAGTTCTCATCTCTGCAGTAGACTTCCTGTGTGATCCTGGGCAAGTCACTTAACTCTGTGTCTCAGTTCTCCATCTGTAAAATGGAAATAATAATGCTTTCTTTCTCCCACCCTTTGTCTGTCTTGTCTAATTAGACTTAAAGCACTTCAGAGTAGGATGTATCTCTCAATAATAAGTGCTATGCAGCACCTTGCATAATGTGGCCTTGATCTTGGTTGGGGCCTTTGAAGCATCAGCGTAATAAAAATAATAACACAAGAACACCATTTTTGTAGTAGAAAAGATATTTTTTCACAATTAAATACCCTTTTAATTAATGCCTACTTAATTGGATACCTCTCTGATGTGCATCTGGGAAAGAAGCATTTCCATCTCTGTCAATCTAAAAATGCAGACATTTACTAAAAAATAATTACTATCAAAAGAAAAGTCTGAAAAATTATAGATTCGTCTTTTTTAATCATTTGTGTGTGTGTGAGTGTGAATGGGTGAGTTCTGAAGTAGATTTCAAATTCTCTTTCATTGAACACTTGGCAGTAATCTATATCAAAAGATTTTTTTCCTGTTAAATAGTCAGAAGTAATCAAATTGTAGGTAACATCTACATTTGGGATAAGCTCAAAATTAATATGAATACATTTGAAAAGGGTATTCTTTTTTCATCATGTCAGATTAATATAATATACTTCTAATTTGTATGTGAGGCCAATGAAAGACATCATCAGTGAATTCAACTCTCGCATAATTTTTGACTAGTCTATCTAGTTCATTTTTGTCTGAACAAAAACTAAAAATACCAAAGTATTTCACTATTTCATAAATAAGACATATATGGACCTTATCTTTTGTGGGGAAATATTGGAAAGTACTTAATTTTTCAACTCTCTGGACTTTATGTTTTTGTATTGGGAGCCAATTTTACTAAATGTAAGACAACTATCTCCCTGCAATGCATACTGCATATAGGCCCCAATGCATCTCCCAGTCAATGTAAAGACTCTAGCAACAGGAGTTGGATAAAGCCCATGATGAGGGACAATTATAAGGCCATAGTTTTGTTATCCTACTTTTTTAAAGTAACTATTTTTCTATTAAGAATAAAACATTAAAGAGTCCTTCAAGCTAAAGCGGAAGGAAAAACTTACTTATTGCCATTCCTCCAAGCAAATTATGGTCTTGAAACAGAGTGAGCTGGGCTTTTGAAAAGGGTTCATGTCCCAGATGCATGACCTGTGCCTGACTCGCAAGCTCTTTCCTCCCATTGAGAAAGTGCTGACACAGGGCTTCCCCCTCACCAGCAGCATTGTTCAATTTGTTCTCAGCCTAGTGTCACCTGATCCCTGGGAACTACAAGTCCCAGAATTCCACTGATCTGGGAGGGAACTAGACACATGTCAGAGCCAGGACTTGAACACTTCTTAAAGACCCAGAACACTGTGGAACCTAATGCATTGCACAGTTAGTAGTGTTCCAATAAAATAGCAATTATTCACATTTTTTTCA